TGTTAATAAATTTACAAGAATGACAGGATAAGTAATCTATGTTATTTTAGTTTTTAATTTTTTAAAAGGAAATAATATTTTTGAATAATAAAAAATATAATATTTTAAGACGGAGGGAGTAAAAGACAAGAAAATTTAATATATACACTTTTAAAAAAAGTGTACCATATACATTCCTAATTATATCATTTTTCTAAATTATGAATAATTAATTTTTAGTTATAACATTATTTTAATTCTGACTTATGAAATATTTACTTATATCTCATGTTATATTTAGTTATAACTAAAACAATATGAAATTAAGTCATTTTCTGGTTTAATTATAGCTTTAAGAAAAAAGTATTGCTGAGAGTAGGGGTGAGTGCGGGTCGGTTGTGGTCACGAAACCTCCAATCCGCCATCCTTATGCCAGATTGGTGTATTAGAAAAAACCAATCCATATATGTTCGCCAATCCGATGGATGTAAATTGAGCGGATTGGCGGATGGATACGAATCGGTTTGACGATTAAAAATTTTATAAATTTTCAACATAATTCAACTTGTGCACTTCTTTAAAAAAAAAAAATAATATTATAGTCAATGACTTAAAAAAGTATTATAATCACTACATGCCTCGTCAAAAAAAGAAAGTTTGAAATTTTAGAATATTACAATCATTGCATGTCTTATCTACATATTATAATCACAGCATGCCTCATCATATAAAGTATTACAATATGTGGTTCTTAAAATATAGAAGCAATTCAAACCGCCAAAATCATGAATAGAGCAATAATAGAGATTGTATACTTCTGTATTGTTACATCTATATCTATTTTTTAAAACAAAAATCAACTAGCATATATAATCTTTTTTATTTATTATTTTTAGAGTCAGATTTAAAAACTAAAAAATAAATATAAATAATGCATTTATTTTTTTTAAATTCAAAAAATATATTGAATTTGAAAACTCTTTTTCAACATAACATATTCAACAGAATATTTAAAATCTTTTTAAATTGAAAACATAAATAGAATATTTAAACAAATTGAAAATACAAAATTTTATAAATTACTAGGGGTGCTGACGGTTTGGTGGTTCGGTTGTTGTCAAAGGAATCTCAAATTCACCATCCGTCCAAAACTAGACGAATTGAAAAAAATTAATTTGCAACTATCCGTTTGTCATCACGTATCCGTAAAAAATACGACGAATCAATTCGATTCGGTCGGTTTGGGAGGATCAATATGTTCGATGCTCACCTCTAGCCAAGTGTGTCTCCAGTACTTACCAGATGTTGCAGCCGTAATTGTTGCCTTTTGGTGAATAGTGTTAACTTTTTAAGTAACTTTTTATCTTTTTTGAAAGATCCCAAACTTGCCCTAAGACTAAATCCTTTAAATTAAAGGACGATTTAACCTTTTATCAAATTTTAAAAACGATCATTAGTAGACGACAAAGTAGATGATTGACCGATCAATCGGACGAATAATTGACTTAGGATTTGTTTGGGATGTGGGTTAGATTTTTTGCTATTTTAATCTAAAGTTAAAAAGCCTTGTTTGGAATAGACTTTTTGACTTTTTAAACTTTTGTGAGAGAAAAAATAAAATGATTATAAATTAAATATGATATTTTATCTTATTAAACTAAAAAATTTATTTTATTTTTTTATAACTATTTTAACCAAAAAAATCTTTGACTTTTTCATAGTTAGCTCTTAAGAAATTTTTACTAAAAATTTCCTCCAAGCACTGGCAAAATGAGTGGCCAAACGATGGGCCAAATTTAATAAAACGATTACAGCCCAATCAACCTTTTATTCAAATTTTCACTTTGATGAAAATTTTGAGTAAGCGGGGAGATGCTCAAATGCCAAAGTGCACCTTAATTAGGGCTTAACTACTCAATTTCACTGCGATTTAAATAAATCCCCCACTCCAGCCCGGCGATAGCTTCTTCTCCGGCTCCGGCAACGGCAACTCCTTCTCTGAATATTTTGGGTAGGTGAGGATGGAGGGTATGGTGAAGAAATATCAGCAAAAATTTAGAAAAGTGAAAGAAGAGATGAGTCGATGGGACGAACTTCAATCTAGGTTGCTTTCCCAGTTCCGGAACTCATCTTCTATCATTCAGAGGTTACAGGTCCCTTCTAATTCACCACAACATACTTATAATATGAAATAGCTTATGAATTGTTCTCCATATTATAATTTGTGTTTTGTTTTCTGTTTTTCTTTGATTACAGGTTATCCAAAATCCCAAGAATTATGGTGCCTTGAAATGCATTGCTGGCATTGAAGATTTGGTCTTGAGAAAGCAGATGGAATCTTTGGAATCTATCTTGCTTTCCATGAATCAGACTCTGTAAGTTTTTGGGTTTCTGTCTTTTGCTCTGTGCAATTTGTTGAGAAAATCTTGGATAAGAAAAAAAAATCTCAACTTTTGAACTTATGATGATTATTTTGTTTATATTTTGGTAAAGCAAGCATAGCATTATCTCGCTTTCCATGAATAAGACTCTGTAAGTTATTGGGTTTCTATCTTTTGCTCTGTGCAATTTATTGAGAAAATTTTGGATAAGAAAAAAAATCGCAACTTTTGAACTTATGGTGATGATTTTGTTTATATTTGGTGAAAGTAAGCATAGCAAGTTGGGATTGTGGCTTTTAGTTTTAGCACTTTCTTTGAAATGCTAGGAACAAAATTTTTAATGGTTACATACTCTCCTTGAAGGCTTTGTAAATGGAGAAATGATTTAATGCTCTCAAATCAACTCTTGAATAAAATAGTCATTGTTTAGAGAGTAGAGATATTTCACGATATGTGATACATTTTGTTAAACCCACTAAACCTAACCCACTACTACCTACCACACACACTCACCTCCTCACCTAACCTACCACTACCCACCTCCACTTCATCCCCTACCACTTTCACCTACTACCTTTCTCTTCTATATATTTGATCATTTGTAAACCATAACAAAATTATCAAAATACACAACAATCTTGTAATCAATAATATACATCAATTTATTTTACATGGTATCAGAGCTAGGTTAGAACTAGTATTTTCGCTTCACCGCGGGCGCAGCCTCGCTTAGCCGCCCGCCGGACCTCTCATCTTCCAACTATTCTGATTACTTCTCTCCATTGTTGCCGCCACTTCTCCACCACCACCTGTCAGCTTCATCTCCGCCAGCTGCCCATCTCTCTCTCCTCTGAATTTTTGCACCAGCCACCGACGGAACCACTCCCTCTCCGCCTGACTCTGCGCGCTCAACAGCACCATTCTCCGCCACCACTATGTCGGCGATGGCCACCTCCTCCACCTGCAGACTAACACCAATTCGGACTGCTCCAAAATTCCAACCCACAGGCTGCTACTCTAGCTTGTCATCTATATTCTCATCATCTCAAACAAAAAAATCCAACTGTGTATGCAGTCTTCACAATTTTCATCAAATTGAGTCACGCAAAAACCCTCTCAACACTTCCTTCCTCTCTCTAAAACCAAACCAGACAAGAATTTCACAGAGCTGCGCACCACCGAAAAAGATGAAATTTTTGCTTTCTTGTTTCCTCTCTCTACTTCTCTGGCTCATCATCATCATGTGTGCATAGCAGCAGTCAACTAAGCTATGTTTTCGACAGTCCATGCAGTCTCTGATGTGCAGAACTAAATCACAGAAATGCCAATCAACAACTCCAAACCAAACAAAACCCAGTGTTGCCAAATCCTCCTCTCTCTGGTCGCCATTGCATGACCAAGAGCAACACCACGGCCGCTCCTTCCTCATCTCTCTCTGTTCTCCCAGATGGGGAGAAGAGAAAGCACAACACCAGTGTTGGTGTTGTAATACAACACCGCAGGAGGCACTATCTGTGTTTGTTCATCATCGTTTCTCCTCTATTGTTGCTTTCTCGAGTGAATTACCCACACTGCATTACAGAGGGCAGTCTCAAAGCACCCAATGGAAAATCTTTACAGATCCCACCACAAAGACCAGAAGCAAACTTTGATCCAAAGCAATAGCACCTTTTTTTTATTTATTTTATAATAATAATCATATATTCTTATTCTTTTCTCTCCACTCAACGGACATCCTCACTTTTGTCACCTTCTCCCCTTTTCACATCATCAATATTATTCTCACTCAACTTTCACATCTTTCTTTTTTTTATATCACCCACTCCCGTCTTTTTCTTCTGAACCCACCGAGACTAACCACCCATCACCTCTCTTTTTAAAATACATGATTCATCCTCCACCCACCACACCACATAATCCTCATCATTCTCTCCATACTAATTATATTATATATATATATTATTTATTGTATTACACTTACCCAAGCAAAAGGATGTGTTTAAACCAAAAAAAAAAAAAAAAAAAAAAGAAAAAAAAAAAACAGACATAACTCGTATTCATTTCACAAACTTAATCCTTTATTTATGTCGGGATCAAATCCGATCAACACTTTTACAAAAAAAAAAAAAAAAAAAAAAAAAAAAAAAAAACAACAAACAAACACCCAAAGCTTTTTTTCTTTTCTGCAAGCCGGCCACCCACCGCCCTCACATTCTTCGCCTATGCCGCCGGTCTTTCTTTTTGTGCCTCCGTCCTGGGCGGACCCTTGACGGTGCTGCCTCCGTATTTTCCACAATCGTCGCGAGCACGTTCCTCGCCTCATACTCCTCCACTGCAGCATATGGCGGACCTCCAAAGCGGTAACATCACGGTGGCCTTCCCGCTTTCGCCTCCTTGTTTTTCCTGCCTTTAGCAACGCTTATCTCCGCTTCGCGCATCCTTATACATGCGTTGGAGCCAGAGCAGCTGGGAGTTAACTGCTGCAACCCATTGTACCCTACTCTGCAGCCGGTTGCGACAGTAGTTTATGGTGACCGCCGTCATGACTCCACACAATGCCTTCAAGTATATTGATTCGCCTCCACATCGTTTGCACTGCCATTTTTTGCTTCCCACCGACTCGCATCGGAAAAGTTCAAAACGGAGCAAACCCAGTGGAAGTTTGGTGAGGTTCACGGGACACCGACCCGTTCTCTCCCTGTGGCACTCGTTCAAGTCGGGAAAGGAGTTAGCAGACCACGGACGACGAAGCGCATTTTCTCTCAGCACGTAACAGTTGTTACAGCCCTCTCTGGGCAACAGAATATTACAGACTATCTCTCCAGCAACAGAGTGTTCCAGCGTCTCTCTCGTCACACAACGACGAGTTTTCAGAGGCATTTCCGCAAGATTTTTTTTTTCTTCGCCTCCGGCCTCAAGGCTCTGTCTTGGTTAATAGCCGAGGCAGCCACGCCGCATCGCGCGCCTCTTTGACGCCGACATCTTCATGCACGCCCTTTTCATGGCACGCTTTTGATGACTCGGGCAACGCCTTTTGATGACACTCCGTGCCTTTTGAGGGTTGCGGGCACACCTTTTTGAGGGCACGACTTTTGAGGGCTCGATATCTACCATCTATTGTAATATCTTTGGGCAGTCTATCTACACTGCCTACAGTGTCTTACATACACCCCGGTCAGCTTTATCAATCCCTTTTCAACCTTAAATAGGGTTTTTTATCTTCACACCTATTTGATTTGAGGGGGGGTTATAAACAGTATCATGTTATAAGTCGCTCATGGCGCAACTGTGCACCACCCCAACCTCTGCTACCAGCCGTCCGACATGACCCCGTAAACTGTCCTTCTACTAATGTCCGACATGGACCCCATAAACTGTCTTCTACAACGGTCTGACACGGACCACACAGTGTCTGCTACAACGGGTCCGAACATGACCCAGTAACGTCTTGCTACAAAACGGTCCGACATGACCCGATAAACTGTCCTGCTTAACAATCGGCTCCGACATGACCCCCGTAAACTGTTTTCTACAACGGTCCGACATGACCCCGTAAACTGTCTTCTACAAACGGTCCTGACACGGACCACAGTCGCACACGTCGATGCCCTAAGCTCACGGTCGACATGACCCCGTAAACTGTCCTGCTACATCGGCCTCCGACAACCTAACTGTTCACACTGCCGATACCAAACTGTCTGCTACAACGGTCCGACATGACCCCGTAAACTGTTTCTTACAACGGTCCGACATGACCCCACGTAAACTGTCTTGCCTACACGCGTCCACATTGACCCCGTAAACTAATGTTCAAATTAAAATTCGGTCAATAGACCTAAACGTACTGTAAAAAAGTAAAAACAAATAGACTAAATGTCTTCTACATCTGACCGACCACACAGTGTCGCTGATTCAACCGGTCCGACATGACCCGTAAACTGTACCGCTACAACGTCTGCACAGCACATACCGTGTCTCCTATCCTGTTTTATTTTATTTATCAGTTTATTTTTCTGTTTTGTAACCTCTCTCCAAACTCAAGTTGGTTCTGTGTCTAAACCGTCCTTGAGTTTTTGAGGCGGCTGTGTTAAACCACTAACTAACCCACTAACTAGCTATACCACACACACTCACCTCCTCACCAACCTACCACTATCCACCCACTTCATCCCCTACTCACTTCACTACTACCTTCTTCTCTTGCTATATATTTGATCATTGTAAACATAACAAAATATCAAAAATACACAACAATTCTTGTAATCAAATAATATACATCAATTTATTTTACAACATTTCAAAGTTTTATATATTCTTGATCGTGATGTTGATCATAATTGTTTTGCAACCAAGAGTGAATTTTTGCTCATTTGACTTCTGAAGTACTCAGTTATTGGGTTCTATTGACAAAGTAATGAATTATTTTAGTTTATTGTGAACTATTCCAGGAAAGTTTCATGGTAATCGTTTTCTTTTCTCAATAATAATTCTTTCCGTGATGGTAGTACAGCTGGTTAAAAGCAGGATCTATTTCAGGCGGCCCCAAAACAGCTAACAACAACGAATTGGTATAAAAACCATCTCTACGCAGATTGTCTTGGATGGGCTAAGCCTTATTTTAGCGGAGATGCACCATCAGAGTATGGACTACTCACTACTCAATTCGTTATCATTTTCCCCCTCCCCACTGCAAGTACGGAATTCAGGATGGCTATGGGTTAGGTTTTGGGTAGGCAGAACATTGAGTTGAAACAAAAGACTTCTGTATTCTTTGTTTTAGTTAAAATTGATTTTGGATTCAGTGCACGATTATACTTAAAAGTCATTTCATATTCTTTTCTTCCATTCCTGGATGTTTGCCTAGTATGGGTTGCATCATCACTTAAATTGAGAAATTTAATTGATTTTTTTATAAACATTCAATCACATGCACTACTTACTTATCTCATTGTTCATAACCTCTTATTTAGTTCATGTCAGCGAGAGACTAGGGTTTTTCTTTCTTCTCATTCGCACCATCTATTTCTCAATGGAGTTAATGTTTTGTTTCTGTTTTGTGTTTGTTTTTTTAAGTGTGGCTATTTGCTGAAAGGCACTTGGTTTTAGATAATGTTACTTGTTCATTGATGAAAGTCCATATCTTCCAAGCAATTGTTATTGTGAATTGCTGCATAATAGATTACATAGGCCAAACATTAAGTTTTTATTTTAATTCTCAAGACTCACTCAATTCTAGTTTTCAGGTACATCTTAAAGCATCAATTGTATCAAGCACCTTTCAGCCACTTGCCTGAGCCCAGTATGCAAAGCGTTGCATTCTCTCCTTATTATCTCGGAAATGCGTAAACCTTCTTATAATCAGCACTCCTTGTTAAAGAGCATGAAATGTTGATGAGTTTGTGTTTGGACAAATTTGTTTATTACCCAACATTAAATGAGTTGAAATTGAAATTTCTTTTTTCTCCAGTTCATTAAATAAATTTGCTTCTTCTTGTTTCTTTTCACATCCTTGATGGTATTGTTATTGTTATATTCTCTTGAATTATGAATATATCTTGGAATTTTTATCACTGCGCATGGCCAGTGATCTAGGTGCTCTCAGCAACTCTTGGTTCATGAACCAAACATCCCCAAAGAGGAATGGTATGCAGACTATATTTAATAACGAAGCAATGAAAATTGTATAAAACCATAACTGAACTGAACTTCAGTGTCAAGAATGTCC